TTATCTTTGAACATCACAGCTGTCAGCTCAGGTTGTAACTGTGATTTATATGGAACATGCTGATCATATTGAAATCCACCCCCCCCCCCACAGTACTGTACATATTTAAAAAAGTCAAGTTTATGAGTCTTATCATATTTTCATACATGGCTTCGTAAGGCAGAAAACCTACTGGCTACAGTATACGTGACAGCCACCACCCAAGAATTCACGCAGAGTTCTTCCTCTTTGTTTCTTTTTTCTCTCAAAAAATCTTTGATTGGTTAAAGACCCATGTCTTGTATGAAATGTTCTATTTCCTAAAAAAAAAAAAAGTGGGCTTTTTTTTTGTGTGTGTTAGTTGTTGTTGTTCCCTTAAATTGATTTTGACAAACCACGTTTCATTGCCACTGCAGTACAAACTTGTTGTAATGGCCAAATGTAGACTAGTTCCCCGCTAGTTTACGAGCAACGGTGTCCAGTAATCTTCAGTTGCGCAGGCCAGCATCAGAGCTCCAAATAGCCAATCAGGGTCAACATTACTAAGTAGTTAGTCATGATAATGACAGTGTATGGTGTTGGAGTGGCTGCAGTACTTTCCACCATCATGCTTGTGCCTGAAAGAGATTAAAAGAACAACAATGATGTTGACGAGTTTCATTGTTGTACTGGAACGGTCTGTTTTGTTTCATTTGCAAATGAACGTCAAGGATTTGGCATCTGCTGCTGCTGCGTGTCATTGTTGAGGGAGGTTCAAGTAATAGGGGAGCCAATCTGATATGTGCTATAGGCTGTCTCCAGACAGACATGCCTGAGTCAGGGCTATGGGTGAAATCACTGATGTCCATAGACTTCTGCCATTGATTTCAGCGATTCATTGGTTTCATCCTCAATGAATGCAAACTGAGCAGCAGTCCCAACAATTTTGGCTCAAGATGGCTTCAGGTTGGACCGATAGGAGAACATGATGATGGTTTACTAGCAGGTGGAGAATACAGACAGAGAGTCTGGAGAGGAATTAATTAGCGTGGTCCAGCAGGCATAGCTGAGCGCCAGAGAAGTAAAGTGCACGGGTGAGGCCAAGGCAAGTTAGAGTGCTACAACACAAAGTGCTAGGCTAGAACTGGCACTGCCCTCCCATCTGTTCAGTGGAAGAGTGGGATCAGGAGCGTGGTGCTCATTCTGCCACTTGGGCTAGAGTTGGGACAAAGACATTGACTGGGGCATAGCGCGCACATGAGCAGTGATGGGAATGACACGGGATTAGAGTCTGTGCATTAGTATACTGCCTCAGATTCACTCATTTCCAAGGGCCAGAGAGACGCATTGGGATAAATGGCTATTCAGCATAGAACTACACGCGTCTACTCCAGGAATGTGGGTAGAGATTGAAGAAGGGAAGGAAAACAGAACTGAGCAGACACACCGCTGTTCCTGAGGATGTGAACCTCTGCTGGGACTCCATCTCCTCCTGGCCCCGTTGCCCTAATCTGTACCAGGGCATGAGTGAAGTCTTCAGGCACTGGTATATCGAGTCGGTTCTTGCTAGACAGATACAGGGTAGGAATGGAGTGCGAGTCCTGCCTGTAGAGCATCTGTTGGGAGATAAGTTTGAATTTAGGGTCCTTTTGTTTTTTCTCTCCAGCATATTGCATTAGAGAAGGTCTTACTACGTTCTGCCTGTACCTTGTACCCAGTGACAGCTGACTCATCCCCCTGTGCTACTACAGGGTCCCACTTGATACTGACGCCAGAGCCAGAAAAGGTCCAGGAGATGTTGCCAGGTGGTCTCCTAGGTGCTAGAAAATATAAGATAATTAAGAAGTTTAGTGAAGCAGAGCGAATGGAGGAAGCGATATGGAGGGGTGCAGGGTACCCAAGACCAAGGGGTCTCAGCGCACCTTCTGAAACGTTCTGGGCAGCCTAGATGGTGGGCAACACCATCATGGCTGGAATAAGTAGGAAGAGCTATCTCAGCCAGTCGTTTGGGGTTTAGTATCTCTGGACCTGTAAAACGAGTGCTTTAAAAAGCTGGAAACCTTGGACCAATAGGTTCCCATTCATATAAGCACAATTTTGTCCAAGCCGATTCTAAACGCTCAAAATTGGAGAATGAACCCTTCTCTTATGCTACGGGTCCATCAGGGACAGTAAATGGGACTTCCAGGACCTTATCAATCCCAGATCAGTCATGTTCAATTACTGATCAGCTTTACCAAAACACAAATCACATTTCCATCCTTCTCTGAAGATGGGGCCTGGGATGGTCCAGAGTAGAGCTGAAGAAGTGCATCCCACAGCTCACGTGGAGCGTGGAAATAAAGGTTTTGTACCACCTTTAAGTCAGTCCTTTCCTAGCACTGGGACTATCCAAAGGGTGATCCAGTCTCCAGCACACATAAGAAGAGCTTTAGAGCAGCCCTAATTTATGTGAACTACCAGTGGCCCAGTGGGCTATTTGGGAAGCTGGTGTCAGTCGTGTACAAGAGGGCTATACCTGTTTTTTCTAGACCTAGATTGTTGCAGGGTGGGCCAGAAGGGAGACTCTCTGAAGATTTCCAAAAGTGGAGGAATCCGCTCTAGTCGCTGGATTCAGGTTATACATAGCCACAAAGCTGGGCCAGCGTACTGCAGAATCAGGCCTGATGTATGTTTTAGTATTGATGATCATGGTGAGGGAGTGACTACCCAAGGGGAATAGGACCCATGAAGCCCCACTGGCTGGGGCTCACTCACGTGGCTTTGTGGTTGTGACGTTTGTAGATGGACTGGCTGGTCCAGTTCCGGCCCGGTTGTAAGCTCTGACCGTCACGTGGTACTTTGTGTTGGAGTTCAGGCCTGTTACGTGAGCAGCTGTGACTAGACCCGCCGTCCTCACTCGGTCTGCTGCTTCCTCTTTATCACCATCTTTCCAGTACCGGATCTAAACAAGAGGTCATGGAGATTTTGGCTCATGAACTAATGAAGGAGACCTGGGTGCTGCCCGAGTCCTGCTTTCTGGGCCAGAGGAACTCGGGCATGCTGCAAGACCGATGAGAGTGGATGCTGGGGCTTGTGGCAGGGTGTCAGTGAGGGGAAAGGTCTCCATCTAGGGTAGATACCAAACTGTTTCTTCCCTGCGTAAGGCAATTTGTGGCCCATCCTTCACTCGCACTGTTTCCTTGTACATATTTTTTTAATTGCATTGTAACTGAGACATTATCCAGAGAAACTCTCGGCAGCAGGTTGTGGGCAGAGTGCCTTTTTCATGCAAGGCCTATGGGCCAAGCTCCAAGGCGCTTACTCAGTTTTAGCTCAAGCCAGCTCCTAGTGGTGTCATAGGCAGGCCCCCCTCTGCGTTTGGACCTATGTGCCTCGTTTTGGGGGTGATCAGGCATAAAAGGCATTTATACACGTGTTCCAGGCATGGGGGGTGGGGGAAGGCACTTTAATTAGAGCAGCTCCAAGAGCATCTAATTAAAGCATCTCGTGTATCAGCATCCCCACACTTCAAAATGGCATTCATCAAGCTTTAGTTAAAGTGCCCTCGCCACCATTTTAAAGTGTGGGGACACTGATGCACAAGACAGTGGAGGCTGCTGCAGCGCGGTAATTACCACGCTCCAGCGGACTCGATTAATCGAGTCT